GTCATGCCCTGGACCTGGTCATGTCCTGGACCTGGTCATGCTTTTGGTTATGGACTTATGAGGTTACTCGTCTTCCTGTAAAAAATAATACGGGCGAGCATTGGTCAGTTGGGGTCGATTTTTGGCCAATCCAGACGTCGAAAATCGACATAGTCGGTTTCGGTCGATCGGAAACTTTTTTTTACCTCTCTATACAAACCGACCGTTTAATTGACCGTTCGATCGGCCGGTTTGGTCAGTGCTCAGAAGAAATCAAAGTTGTTCAAAATGAGTGTTGTGTGATTGAAATGCAGGGTAGAAAGATAAGAAAGAGAAGAGGGGAAGAAGAAAGAGAAGAAAGGGAAGAGATGAAGAGAGGAAGAAAGAAGAACATGAAGGAAGAAAGAGAAGATAGGTGGAGGGAGAAAACATAAATGAAAAGAAGAAAACGTGCGTGATAACGACAAAACAAAAGAAAAGGAATGAGATAAGAGAGAGAGAAAATGAAAAAGAAGGAATGGCTCTCAGCCACGTAGGTAAAAAAGTGGGTAAAAAAGTAAAATATAATAATAAAGAAATGAAAGTAAATACTTATATACATTTCACGTGAATCATGAGAAGATTTTTTTTTTCTTTTACGTTTTTCAACCCACAGTGGCTTTATATTAGTCGTTCATTCTTTCTTTTCGATTCATTTTTCTCCTTCCCTCTTTTTTCCCTCTCTTTTTCTGTCTCCTACCTTCTCTTTCCCAATTTGTTTCGTTTCTTCCCTTCGACTCTTATCCCTTCTTTTTTTTCTTTTTTCTTTTTTTTTTGACTCATCTTATAAATTGACCGACCGACGTCGGTTCGATCGATTTTGGTCGGTCGGATCAGTTTTTCGGTCTTCTATACTCACCCCTAAGAAATAATCTTCTCTCTATTTTCTAGTATAGTTTCAAGAAAATTATGTTTTTAACCAGTTTTTTTTCACAAATTTAACCATTATTTAACAATATTTAAGTTCATATCTAATAAATTTTTAAATTTTAAATTTTATATCTAATATGTCCTTAAATTTTAAAAGTGTCTAATAGATCCCTAAATTTTTTATTTTGTCTTTAATAGATTCTTAAACTTTAAAAGTATCAAACATGTTTATGAACTTCCAACTTTGTGTCTAATAGGTACACATGCTCGACATTTCTAAAAATTAACAGATCAGTTAGACATAAAATTTTGTATTCTATAGGATTCTAAACTTTCATTTTTTTTTGTCAAGAGATTAGTTCAATGTTAATTGACAAATATATCCTTGGTTAGGAGTTCATGCCTTCGAATCCAATCCCTTCGAATCCAATCCCCTAAATTTAATAGATGCTTTTCAAAAAGTTCAAACGACTTATTTGACACTCATCTCAAAGGATTGTTTAACCTCAATATTCTAATTCTATGTATAACAATCTGAAAGACAATTCTAAAATTTTTCTTTTTGAATGAAGAGAATGCCCTGATGAACTGAAGGAGGCAGCATCGGGTGTGGTATATGCAGCTTCAAGATGCAGAGATTTTCCAGAACTTGAAGAAATTAAATCAGTCTTGACTTCTCGTTTTGGCAGAGAGTTCAGTGGTCGTGCTGTTGAATTGCGCAACAACAGTGGTGTAAATGAATTGGTACATCTCTTTTCTCTTTCATAAAACTTTATATTCAAAATCATATTACAATTTTTGTTTTTTCATTATGATTTTGTGTTGGAATTGGGTAGATGATGCAAAAACTGTCCACAAGGAAGCCCAATATGGAGAGTAAAATGAATCTTCTAAGAGCCATTGCTTCTGAGAATGTCATTGCTTTGCAACTCCATCAGGACCAACCTTCTCTTCCTTACCAGGTATGCAACTTTTATGAGGGTAAACAAAGAAGAACTAAGATTATTATCAACAAATTTCTGTCTATAATTTCCAAAACTCATCTATCAATCATCATGATATTATATCATTTAAATATATAATTCAGTTTAAACAAGGGTTTGAAGTATTTATTTGATAAAAAAATGGCAAAAATATACCTTTTGGTGTTAAATTTTGATTAGATGTCTATTTTTTGTCACTAAAATTGATGGGTTGGGTAAATTACTTAATGGGAGGAAATAACAATGTAGGGGTTCGAACACAAGCCCTCCCGCTCTAATACCATATTAAGGATGAATAAACCACCACTCGACCCAAAATCTTAAGTTGATGGGTTGGATAAGTTTAAACTTTTGGGTTGAGTGATAGTTGATTCAGCCTAAAAATGGTATAAGAGCGTGAGGTCTTGTGTTCAAACTTCACATTGTTATTTCATCCTCATTTATAATGATTTCCACTTGCATTCTACAAAATATACTAATTTAATAATATTTTTATTTTTTGATTGAACTTTCTAGTTTACATATTAACTTTTTTGGCTTAGGAAAAATTGGAAGGAAACAAAAGGGAAAACCGGGGAGGGCCAATTGCTAAGAAATCAAATGGTTCATCCAGTTCCACTTCTATGCATGATAAACCAAAGAACACGAGCCCATATCGAACCCGTAGCTCAACCCGCAAACGTTGATACATTTATGAGCTTAATAATTTTGTAATATTTAAACTAATTTGTTTTGACTTTATATCAATTTTATTTCCTTACCAATAGATTGAATCAGGGATAAAACATGGTAAACTTCCCATTATTTATTGTTTTAGATTTATTTCATTTTTACTGTATTTTTTCAGGTTAAATTATAAATTAAATCTTTGAATTTGGATGGTTATGTTTATTTAGTCATATTTCACTTTGAGAATAAGTTGAATCTTCCACACAATTACAAGAATATGGTTACAAGAATAATCTAAACAAACTAATATGGTTACAAAACTAATAAAAATGTCAGCTAACTGAAGACTTGAACGTATAGGCAAAAGTCGAATAAGGCCATCAGTAATCTTGTCACGAATGAAATGATAATCCAGCTCAATGTGTTTCGTACGCTCATGAAATGATGGACTGGAAGCAATGTGTATAGCAACCCCATTATCACAAAAAATAAGTGCTAGTGGTTGAAAAGAAACCTACAAATCTTGTAAAAGGTGAGTAAGCCAAATAATCTCACTGGTAGTAACGACAAGAGCATGATATTCAACTTCGACCAAGGAGCGAGAAACAGTACTTTGTTTCTTAGCCTTCTAGGAAATAAGAAATTCTCCTAGAAAAATACAAAATCCAGTAGTAGACTTCCGAGAGTCAAGACACGAACCCCAATCTGCATCCAAAAATGCACGAAGCTAAGAAGAAGATTTAGATAACAAAATGTCTTATCTAGTAGATCCCTTTAAGTAATGAAGAAGATGATGAACAGCCTGAAGATGAGGATGTCGAGGCTGAGCCACAAACTGATTGAGTTTATGATTAGTAAAAGTAATATCAGGCCGTGAGATTGTAAGATACAATAACCGACCGATAAGATGTCGATACATAGTGGGATCTTCCAAAAGAGTATCATCAAAAGAACAAAGCTTAATATTAGGATCCATGGGCAACATAGAACGCTTGCAAGCAAGAAACCCAGTGTCTTCAAGAATCTGAAGAGCATAATTGCACTGAGAAAGAAAAATATTCGTAGAAGAACGAGCTAGCTCAAGTCTCAAATCTTTGAGTTTAAAAATACCATGGAGAAGAACTTTCAAAGCATCAATCAAAGAGGAAGATGCACCAGTAATGATAATATCATTGATGTAAACAAGAGGAGCAAGAAAGCTATCACCATAACCTTTTTACGAATAGAGAATAATCAGACTTAGTTTGCTTAAAACCAATGAGTAATAAAGCATGTGAAAACTTGTCAAACCACAGACGAGATGCTTGTTTGAGTCCATAAATGGACTTATGAAGTCGACAAACCAAACAATCTTATGGCACTCTCGCTCCTCTCGCTCTCGCTCTCGCCCCTTTCTCTCCTACTCTCGCCCCTCTCGCTCCTCTCGCTCCCGCTCTCACCACTCTTGCTCTCGCCCCTT